AAAAAAAAAAAAAAAAAAAAAAAAAAAAAAAAAAAAAACAATTCATGCCTGCTACAATGACTATCATAAAAGAGACAGACAGTAACAAATGGTGGCAAGGTCATAGATAAATGAGAACACTCACGCAGTGCTGGTGGGATGGTAAAATGACACAGCCATTTTAAAAAGTAGTGTGGCAGCTTCCTAAAAATTAAACATAAATTTCCTACGCAACACAGCAATTCCACTAAGAGGTATATAACCAAGATAAGTGAAAACATATCCACAAAAAGACTTGCACGTGAATGTTCACAGCAGCATCATTCAAAATAGTCCAAAAGTGAAAACAATCCAAATGTCCACCAATTGGGGAATGGATAAACAAAATGTGGTACAGACTATTCCATTAATAGAAAAGAATAATGTACTGATACATACTAAAACATAGGTGAATCTTGAAAACATTACACTACAACTTCTTGTCTGGCATGTAAAGAGCTTGGAAGTCATTGCTTCCATTCACACAGTAAGAAAAAAGCTGACCAAACAGATCCATTTGAGAATTGAGGCCACAGAGCAAAATACTGCCCCTTAAACTAAAGAGACAGATCAGTCGATACAGAGAATGAAAATCTACTAGTACAGAAAATGTAAAAATTATAAAATATTTAGAAATACAACAAGAAGGGACAATGCCTTTTTGAAAAACATGGTAAAAATAATTGTTGGCTACTTATAACAAGATCTGAAAAAGTATTGAGACATAGAAATATCATTTACTATAGTAAAATATCAAATTCCAAAGTGTATTTATCTCTATATATACATACACACACACACATATATAGTATAATGCAATTAAAATCAGATATTTGAGAGCTACAGAAATAAATGTATATTTCATAAATAGCTTTTAAAGATTAAAGATGAAGTATTCAATAATTAAAATGAAAAGAAACTGAACTCCTGTTGCACAATATATACAAAACTCTGGATTAGAGAGTTAAGGCTAAAAAATGCAATTTAAATCAGAAGAATAATTAGGACAATATGTTTAATCATAATGATAGAAGGAATCATAGGAAACCCTGAAGTTTAAAACTTCGAAGAAAAAGAAAAACATGTCGGACTACTCATTCTTATAGATGTGAATGTGAAAAGAGATAAAAAATAATATCAGAAGAGAAGTAAAGAAGGGCATGCACTTGCAGTAATGGCAGAGTCGTTCACATACAGCACGACTTCCACAGATTTGTGTGTAACCACCAAATAAACCTTGAATTCCATCTAAAATCTTGCACAGAAACCCAGATGAATCATATACCTAAATATAAAATCCCAAAGTATAAAGCATCTTAAAGCACACATAGGAGACTATGTTTGCAACCTTAGTGTTAGCAAGTAAATTAGTAACCATTAAAGTAAGCTTGATAATTAGACTTGATCAAAATTAAAAACTTTGCTCATAAAAAGACGGCATTAAACAAACAAGCAAGTTATGGATGGAGAAAGAGTTTATATTACATATAGCTTATAAAAGACTTATCTGCAGAATATGTAAAGAACTATCCCTCCCATAGTCCCCCTTCCCTTGACAGTCCCCTGTGTGTGATGGTCCCCTCCCTGTGTCCATGTGCTCTCCTTGCTCAACACCCACTTATGAGTGAAAACATACATTGTTTGGTTTTCTGTTCTTGTATCAGTTTGCTGAGAATCATGGTTTCTATGGCTAGTCAGTTTTTCCAACACCACTTATTAAATAGGTAATCCTTTACCCATTGCTAGTTTTTGTCAGGTTTGTCAAAGATCAGATGGTTGTAGATGTTTAGCATTGCTTCAAAGACCTCCGTTCTGTTCAATTGGTCTATATCTCTGTTTTGGTACCAGTATCATGCTGTTTTGATTACTGTAGCCTTGTAGTATAGTTTCAAGTCAGTAGCATGATGCCTACAGCATTTGTTGTTGTTGTTGTTGTTGTTGTTGTTTCGTATTGTCTTGGCCATGTGTGCTCTTTTTTGGTTCCATATGAAATTTTTTTTTTTTTTTCTAATTCTGTGAAGAAAGTCAATGGTAGCTTGATGGGGATAGCACTGAATCTATAAATTACTTTGGGCAATATGGCCATTTTCACAATATTGATTCTTCCTAACCATGAGCACAGAATGTCTTTCCATTTGTTTGGGTCCTCTCTTATTTTTTTGGGCAATGTTTTCTAGTTCACCTCGAAGAGGTCCTTCACATCACTTATAAGTTGTATTCCTAGGTATTTAATTCTCTTTGTAGCAATTGTGAATGGGAGTTCACTCATGATTTGGCTCTCTGTTTGTCTGTTATTGGTGTATAGGAATGCCTGTGACTTTTGCCATTGATTTTGTATCCTGAGACTTTGCTGAAGTTGCTCATCAACTTAAGGAGATTTTGGGCTTAGACGTGGGGTCTTCCAAATATACAATCATGTCATCTGCAAATAGAGACAATTTGACTTCCTCTTTTCCTAATTGAATACCCTGTATTTCTTTTTCTTGCCTAGTTGCCCTGGCCAGAAATAGGAGTGGTGAGAGAG